TGTTTGGCAGAGTGATGGCATTTGGGGGAAAACTTGCTTCATTGAAACTCCTGATATAAGGAAAACAGAAGACCCTTAAAATTAGGGAAATTTATCCCAAATACCCCAGTAGAAAAAAAAAATTTTTTTGGCACTGCCACATTTAGAAGCTGTAATGTAGCATCCTGATGGTCTATTCCAGGGGTGTCAAACTCAAGGCCTGCGGGCCAAATCCGGCCTGCAGGGTGCTTAGATCTGGCTCGAGAGGCTGCCCTGGAAACAGCGAAAGACTGGCCTGTGGTGTCTCTGCCAGCGGAAACGGGGTCACAATCTCCGTTTTCAGCCCTCCCTGGCTCCATTTTCACTGGCAGAGGGTTGCAGGAGGCCATCCCAGCCGAAAACAGAGGTTGGGATACCGTTTTCTCTGGCAGAGTACTCAGGCCAGCACAGGCGCCCTGACATGAGTGATGTCAAGTTGGCCATGCCCCCCCCCCCACACCTCCCTCCCCGAGGCCAAACACAACCTTGATGCGGCCCTCAATGAAATTGAGTTTGGCACCTCTGGTGTACTCGGTCTGATAAGCAACATTGCTCCAGGAAGTCCTTCACTTACGACTGTAATTGAGCTTTCAAATAATGGCTGCCAGTCGTGACAGTCATTGAGGTGATGATTACTGGGAACACACCTGGTTTTCACGCTGGTCATAAAGTAAACACCTCGGTCATAAAAAAGGACCCAGTTTTCTATGGACATTTTTTTTGCAGAAAACCAAAGCATAAAAATCATGTTTCTGAAGAAAATGCTGGAAATTATGGTTATGTGCCCATAGGATGTCGCAAACGTCAAGACAAACACAGACTCCAGAGAGTAATTAGGACTGCAGAAAAAACAATTACTACCATCCTGCCTTCCATCGAAGACCTGAATACTGCACGAGCCAAAAAGAGGGCTGTGAAAATATCTCCAGACCCCTCACATCCCAGACCTAAACTGTTTCAGCTCCTTCCCTCAAAACGACACTATAGAGCACTGCACAGAACAACTAGACACAAGAGCAGTTTTTTCCCCAAATGTCATCACTCTGTTAAACAAATAATTCCCTCAACATAATTCCAACTATTTACAAAGTCTGCACTACTATTACTATTAATCTTCTCATCACTCCTTATCACCCATCCCCTCCCACTTGTGACTGTATGGCTGTAACTTTGTCTCTTGCATCCTTGCGATTTATATTGACTGTTTCCTAGTATGATTTGATTCCTTATTGTACCCTATGACTATCATTAAGTGTTGCACCTGATGATTCTTGACTCTTCACGAATGTACCTTTTCTTTTAGAATAGAATACAATAGAATACCTTTACTGTCATTGCATTCCATGAATACAATGAAATTTAAAAGCTACTCCAGCACAGTGCCCCAAACACCCCATCACAATCACACTACAGAGTATTTAAAAATTAAAATAATTATAATAACAGGACTAAATCACAAATGCACTGTTTCATTCAAGGCAATTACTGCCTTGGAAAAGAAATTGTTTCTCAATCTATTAGTCTGCATTTTAAGACACCTATAACGCCTCCCTGAGTTCGAAATATGAATGTCCAGGATGAGAACGGTCTGTGGAGATTTTTAGTTATTCGGCGCACTTGGTTACTGCGGCTCTCTGGTATCTTTTCTTTTATGCACACTGGGAGCATTTGCACTAAGACAAATTCCTTGTGTGTCCAATCACACTTGGCCAATAAAGAATTCTATTCTATTCTATTCTATTCTATTCTATTCTATTCTATTCTACTCTACTCTACTCTATTCTATTCTTATTGTACCCTATGACTATCATTAAGTGTTGTACCTGATGATTCTTGACTCTTGACGAATGTATCTTTTCTTTTATGTACACTGAGAGTATTGCACCAAGACAAATTCCTTGTGTGTCCAATCACACTTGGCCAATGAAGAATTCTATTCTATTCTATTCTATTCTATTCCATTCCACCCCACCCCATTCCTATTCATATACCTCTTCTCTTCTCTTCTCTTCTCTTCTCTTCTCTTCTCTTCTAGTCCACCCCACTCCATTCCTATACCTCTATTCTATTCTATTCTATTCTATTCTATTCTATTCT